TGGATGTGTATATGAAGGAAGCCTCCAATTATATTAAAATTAGAACGATTTACTGTTTCCTAGTTTAAAATTTCACTATAAGTCAGGATAAGTGGGAGCATTTCATAGAAGTGGGTTCGTATTGTAGAAAATCCCACATATGAATTAAGACGTCCATTGATAATAATTAATGTTTCCGAATTACACACGTATAAAAAAAAAATATATTTTTATAGTTGTGATTCGGCCACATTAATTAATATACTAATAGTATGAGATAAATTATAACTTACTAAGAGTAATAATTGAATAAGTTAAACACTGTATCAATTTGGTTTTGTATGTATGTAATTTTCTAAACTGAAAATAAAAACAATGTTTAATGAATAATTAAAATTCTCCTGAAATCGAAACAGAAAATGTAAACTTATTATAAAGAGAAGTTTTCTGTTTTAGAACTTAAAACATTCTTTTGGTGTTTCGGTAGTGTACTCAGTTATCTAAATTTTCCCTTTTGATTCCTATATAATCTTAAGCGAATTAATATGGAATACATTCACAGTGAATATTTTTACTATATCTACTATCCAGGTAATGCATTATTTTCAAGTTTTAAATATTATTTTAACAGAATTAAGTAGTAAAAATTAATAAATTGTCAACAAATTACAATGAAGTTATTAATTTATTAATTATATTTTACAAATGCAAATGTAGATTTAGAACTCATAATTAAAAAAAATTTTTATGTATATTATTTAAAATCCTTATCATTATTATTATTAATTTAATTATATTAAAAACTATATATACTGTATTTTATTTTAGTTTATTTATAGTCATAATTTATAATCATATATTAAAATTTTAAAAGATGTTTTAATATTTAATTTTTGTCAAATACAGTATTAAATTAAATATTTGTCTTTTAGAAAAAGATAATTCATATTAAATATTAAATGATAGTTAATTCATATAGATTATACTTTAATATAATTACTAGGCCTATATAATAACTAAAATAAAATTATTCAAGTTTGTTTAATCAAAAAATATTACAAATTTATATTCATTTAAAGAGTAATTTATTGAATACATACTAATATAGCCTAATTCTTTAACAATATTAGAATTGATTCCTATATTTTATTCTTGAAGTTTGTCAATAATAAAACTGTTATTTTAATGGTTTTATAATTAAAAAGATATGAGAATCAACTATAAAATTTTATTATAGGCCTAGATTTTTAGAGGTAAGATACAAATGAATTTTGAATAAAAAACTTTGTTTATAAAAGATAGACTATACAAGTATGTGCCTTAAAACCTGAGAAGAGGACCGTGTGATGTATCTTAAAAGCTTATATAAAATTTTTAAATAGACAAGAAATAAAATCAATGATAAAACCCATTTCTACACATTTTTACACACCGTTTTTGTCTGTTATGACGTTGAACATGTACGTTCTCTCCGAAACCTATGTGTTTTAAACTGCTTTAGACAGAACCTTAGAAGTATATCAACATATTTATGTTTTCTTACGAAGCTCAAGCAGAAAACTCTACGAAATATAGGGCCTAATTACTACGTATTTTCCAGGAAAAGTTAAAGAAAGAAAAGAATTTGATATGTTTACAGAATAGAGAAATATTCGGAAAAGTTCTTCATTAAAATTTTTAAATGGATATTCAATAAAAATACTCATTATTAACATTTTGATATACAGTATTTATAATACTTTATTGTTTTATTAGAAAATAAATTTAATAGTTTTATTTTATGCGCTCTTGCTGTAAGATATTATTAAATTAATAAATTAAAATTCTTTCAAAGTGTAAATAAAGTACGTTTTTTAATAACGGAAGAATTAATACTTCATAATTTTCTTAATTAGTTAATTATCTGAATATATAAAATTACTTGTTCTAACTGACTGACTGAGTAATTGATTCATCATCGCCCAGAGCAAACCGCTGAACCTAAAGAGCAGAAATTTGGTACACAGTTAGAAATCGTCATGAAAACGCACACTAAGAAGGGATTTTTCGAAATTCCCCCGCGGAGGGGAGAGAGAGAGGATGAAGGCTTAACGGGAAGAACGGCTTCTACTGTACTATTTTAGATGCGATTTTTTGTTTTCAACTACGTTTAGTCTTCATTGAGTACTTAGGTGTATTAAATTGATAACATTTCAGACATTGTTATAAATATTTTTATCTATTTCGATTTTGAAAATGTTAGAACCGTTTTAAATTCGAATTTGTTATTGCATGTTGGTTCGATTGTAGAACGATTGTAAACGTTCCAGAAAATTGATCAAATTAAAAATAGTTCGTTTGATTCTGGGCAATTCTTATCATTCTCAGCGGTAGATGTTATATAACAATTACTATGGTGAATATAAATAGGGTTTGCTTGATAATTCCGAGCGTGCGAAATCGCGGATAACAGCTAGTATAGGGGAGATCGGGGCAAGATCGGCATGTTAAGATTTACTTAAATTTTGTGTAATAAATACTGCTGTAAACTGAAAAAAAAGCTTTGCATATTGTCTATTGGAATGTTACCTTACTATAGAACTGGTTAAAATCAGTTTGGAAATAAAAATAATTAAAATAATTACAACTTTACAAGAAGAGAGAAATTGACGAAGTTGCCCCGGGTATAGGGGCAAGATCGGCAACTTCTCTCTTTTTGTAAAGTTGTAATTATTTTAATTATTTTTATTAAAGTTGCCCCTGGTATAGGGGCAACAGTAATGGGGCAAGATAGGCACGTATATAAAATTATGTTATTAACAATGTATAAGTTGGAATTCACTATTAAAACAAAGAAATACAAATCCAACACCCATTTAATATTATTACAACGAAATGCAAGTTCAAAGACATATATACATGAATAACAAATGCAAACATGTTTTCATTTATCATCTGTTTGATTTTTATCCTTTGCTTCTAATGTGGCTTTATGTTGCCGATCTTACCCCGCTAGTCATGATTTCGAAACATTAAGTACAACCCTGAGAACAGAATGCCAAGCCACGATCTGGCCACGTGAATAAGTTGAAGTTACATCCTTCTAACAGGAAAAGTAACTTTCGTTATCATGGAATTATAACAAAACCTGCCAATTCAATATAAATGGAAAAAAAATATTATATGGAATTGAACGAAAATGAAAATTTGCTTGATAATTCAACTACGCTTGTTGGAGAACAATAAAAACACTACACTCAACAAGCCACCAATAAAACTCAACTGCCTAACCTATAACCAAAGTCTCCTTTTAATTTGTTTTTTAAAAAAAGCGCTTGACAAACTTGCCCCGCATGCCGAAGTTGCCCCGATCTCCCCTACTATTTAATTCTTGAACTTTCTTTTTTAATATAAAATGTAAATATAAAACAAGAATTGAATTCAAGTTAAACTTAGAACAATATCAAAACCGGAGTTACAAATAAATAAAATATAATAAAATAAAGGGTCTATAAGAAAAAGGCAAAAGAAATAAAATGACAATAATAAGCATAAAAATGAAAAATAATAAAATATCGGCTTACGTAGAGTGTAGCCACAAAACATATTGCTAAGTGAAGAGTTTAAGGTAAAAGGTAATTTTGTAAATACCCCAGACGGTGTTCTTACAATGGAGTCTTTATTGTTACGTAGGAGATCGTAGATTCTGCGATTAAGTCTATACAGAAATTATTTGTTTTCATATTTACCGGTTTTTTCGTACACCCCATCTAAAAACTTGTATGTCACCATGGCAATCTTATTGCCTAGAGATCTATTCTTCATAGAAAGTTTATTGTGAGTATAAACATATTAGATTACTGCCAGTGCATTGGGGAAAACCATGTGTGGAGGCAAATCCTCTTAAGATTCTTTAACGTGTCTTACATCTGCACTAAAGCCCTAGGTCAGGGGTGGCCAACAGTTTTTGCCCCCGGGCCAGATTGGAAAGAAAACTTTTTCCACGGGCCGAACCAGAGGCTGCCCTGGGAAGATTTTGAGGTGGTGCGAGATCTCATTGTGGTGTCACCCCGTAGAAACTAAATTGTAGATAGAGATTACAGATACATTTTTCACATTATCATGCTTTATCAACATTCTACGCTGTCTTAAGAGATTTGTAATGGAGGGTTAACTCTAAACGCAAGTAAGTTGTTGACATTTTTTTTTAGGCGTCAGAATTTTTCATCGAGCTATTCGGACTTCAATAGATATAAAAGTAATAATATGTTTTTTCCGTGGCTTTTAGCAACAATTTTTATCTATGATTGGTCGGGAGAGTGTCACGTGATGATAGGGCGCCATTTTCTGGTCAAACAATAGCTTCATCCAGGTATACTTGCCACTAAAGACACCTTTATGTTACTACTGTTTCGAAAATTATTTTTACGTTAAATTAAATTAAATTATATTCAAGTTAATCATTGGGCTGCAATTTGAAAAAATTGTAGACCTGTCTGTCTTTCCTTAATCTCGATAACGGAATTAGATAGATGAAATCCAAGACCAGATATGAAACCTTAGGGGCAGGAGGTCCCGATTGACTGTATATGAACTTCCGTTATGTACCGAAGTTCTTTAAATGGTAAATAACTAAAATAGTATACTGTATATCATTTTTTAGATATATATTAAAATTTGAAGCTCACTTATAGGAGTTTAATACACTATGGAAATTGGTGTTTTGTGGAACAGAAGCATTAATAATGTCAACGCGTTTTTAATATATTAATTGATTTGCTATAATGTATAATATAATCTTCTCAAATGAATGATTTATTTTTTGTTAAGATATTTTAGTGGTAGAATTAGGTAATCATTTTAATATATTTTATTTGAAAAATATGCAATGTTATAATAGATCATGTAACTGATAACTCTAGTATTTATGAACACTCATAATGCAAATTCTTACAATTTATATTGAAAATTTTTGCAGTATATTATATAATAACTATTTTATATATTTTTTAAATAAAATCTGACTAAACATATTCTTTCAGAAGTATTAGTACGGAAGAATAACATAAAAATGGAAAAAAGTCCAGCATGTCAAGATAAACAATGGGATGAAACAAAGTAATTGTTTAGGAAACATTAAAATATATAATCCGAATTAATCAGTGTTTATATAATTTAAGTATATATGTTTTTTCTTATAGAAAACAAATGAGAGCTTTAAAAAACGAAGAATTCCGAAAAGCATTTGAAGAGACAGTAGAAATTAAGCGAAGTTGGGAAAGTTCACTTTCTTTACAGCTTATAGACGAAACACTAAAAGAAGACAGTCAGCTTTACAGAGACAAAGAACTGTTTCAAATGAGAAGAAATGCAGCGAAGAAGTTTAGTGACCCAAAACTGTGGTCAGAATTTATATCGAGTGCATTTTGGGACGTCGTGTGTGGTACAGAGGGAGAAGCCATCAAAGAACTTCGAAAATATAGATTATACAACCCATTTTATGATTTTGTTGAACATGTAAATGATTTCGAGATTGTAAAGAACGAAATGGAGAAAAGAACGGAGCGAGTGTACGTTTTCGGAAACAATGATTCATCCATACACGATATTGACAAGATACACCCTGTTATGTTAGTCGCTTACGCTGAGAAATTCGATGATCAGAAAGACACTTTATTATGGAAAAAATGTTTACAAAATCACATAGATATTAATTATCATCACCAGGGAAATTGTCTTTGGCAAAAAGAAGGTGGTGAATGCTGTGAAAAGCTGAAAGGTGTAGCTCTTGGAGAAATGATCTGTGATAAAGTATCGAGAAGACTTCAAAAAAATTTACATGGAAATTTTGGTGAAGCAGTGTGGGATGTTGAAGAAAAATATTTTATGGGATTGCCATCAAAATGGTTATCGAAAGTTCAACAAATTTTGTCAAAGTTAAAAAAATATAATGTAATATAATTCAATGTAAATTAACAATTACATTTAAAAAAACAGCAATTTTAACATTTTATGAAGTTGTTTTTTAATTTACAATTTTTTATATTAATTTAAATATAATAATTTTCCAAAAAACGTTAAAACGTTATTTTAACTTTTGAGCATTACTTTTATCAGTATATTTTAAATACAGGTAACCCCCGTATAACACGGTAGTTACGTTCCAAAAAATTGCCGTGTTATGCGAATCCGTGTTATACGAAACAAAGAACTAATACGAAAAGGAGGGTTATGTTCCAAAAATTAAAAAACATGCTAGTATATTTTCATAAATATCTTTATTAAAATTTTTTTAAGTGATACATATTAATATAAATTAAACAATATTTTCTTCGTCATCACTAAAAACACTATTAATTAACCGAGAGCATTTTCTTTTTGGCAAGTTATCCTTATTCTCTGAGCATTTTTCTGCATTATCTTCAGATCCATGCTTTACCTTTTGCAAAATGTATGTAATTTTAGATTGCTTGCTTCTAGTTAAAAGGTCTTTATAAATTTCCTTATATGGTGCTAAGCACTTATGAAGAATAAAGCAAGTATGGAATAAGGGAAAAACATTCGGCAACATCAGAAGCAGAAGCGTCGCGATCTGGCAACATTGAAACAAGTTTCGAGAAGGACCACGTGTATCGACAGAAGGCGAGAAGAGAAAATTTACATACTTAAGTACTAATAGTTCACGAAAATAATAATTTTCGTGAACTATTATTAGTTAAGTATGTAAAAATTTATTACATTTCCTGTTGTACGAGGGTTTTACCCAATTCTCGAACCGTGTCAGAGTGAATCCGTGCTATAAAAGTACCGTGTTATACGGGGGATGGTACCAATTCTCGAACCGTGTTAGAGCGAATCCGTGCTATAGAAGTGCCGTGTTATACGGGGGTTACCTGTAATTAAAAATTTGAATTTTATTCATAAATCTGTATCCAAATTTCATTTATATCTTAATGAATTTATCATTCGTCTTCTAAATTAATTATATATTTTAAATTATTGTTATTATTATTATTTTAAAGTGAAATATAAGATTGTTTTTATAATTATATTTAAAAAACGAAAAGATCACAGAAATTACTGGCAAAAGTTTCACCAGAAAGTTTCATTTGATTTTTAATAAAGGTATTTAGATACTGTGACACACACATCTTATGTCTTTGAGAATCAATATTTATTGTTTTACAAACGTTTTCAACCTGATCTACAGGCCGTCGTCAAGTATTTTGAATTATCTGGAACGTTTTTTGTATTGGTTCCAGGTTCGAACAATTATCTGAAAATAAATTTAAATTTTTTATAACTGTTTCGAACATCTCGTTGAAAAATCAAATACAGTCGACCCCCCATGATACGGTAGATACGTTCCGGTTTTTATGAATCCATTTTCTACGAGTCCAGCCAATCACAGCCCGGCATGTATGCAGTTTACGGACTACTGCTGTTTGAAAGGTTTCTTTCATAAAATTAATCGATTCTAGACTAATTCGACTCAACATTTCCAAAATACGTATAATTTTTTGGGAATAATCCATATAAACTATGCTATAAACAAAAATTGTAGGAATTCTTACCGAGCGTGCACCATTCGACGGCGCCATTGCTTAAGCTTGTTTTCGTCGTGGGGCTTATCATCGAATGGCGCTCACGTGCTTCCTGATAAATTATTTTTTTTTTGCGAAAAGTTCGCTGAACTTTGGAGACATCATTAATATAAATATAATTTTTATGGCCGTTAAATAATAAATAGTTTTTTAGTAAATCCGCTGCTCGTTTAAACTCAGCGGTTTGTGCAATATCTGCTATTCGTCTAGATTCGACCAATCCTGTCGCGACACGAGTCGGCGATGACGTTTTACCGAATTATAGGAGTTTCTTTAGCGTGTTTGTACGAATACTGTCGCAATATTTTCGCCATGATATAGGAATCCAAACTATAGGAACCCGTGTTATAGGGGGATCTACTGTATATCAAAAATGTAACAAATAGTATAAATAGGGCGCGAATTCTTTCCCTATCTGGTGTCGGGAATCCTGACTGCAGATCGGGATTTTACGATGTTTGATCTCAAACATCTTTTTAAGCCATCCACAGACAACGTGGGCAGATTTACCATCCTGTTGCCGAGTAAGTGGTAGAGATTACATATACTTCTACTTCCGGTTCCTCGCATACAAGTGAAAAAATAATAATAATAACTTTGTCAAAAAAACAATTTTCTGTCGTAAACATATTTTTAATCGCTTTAGTTCCCACCAATTTTTAATATTAATGTATTAAACATAAAAAATACTTAAAATTGAAAAAACCCGAAAGAAATGCGTTAATGTTGAAGAAAAAGCTTCAAACTTTATTTTCCATTGTCTCGCCTCTCTGTGAAATCTTATACCGATGAGTCATTGTGTTTACAGCTGAATGACCTTGAGAACAGCTGGTGTTACATTTCCCGGGACATTCTCATAGAAGTCTCGAGAGGCGAAGGGTTTATAGTAGGGTGAATACTAGCTGGCCTTATATTTTTAAGTATTTTTTAAAAATTAAAATTTTTATTGCGATTTCCGACCCCTCCCCGACTTAATTGAACGTATATATAATAAAATATATTAATTTAAAAAATTAAAAAACTATTGGAGGTCGTTTTGACATCAGAAATTAGCTTTAAATAACTTTACCGAAGTAAAATCCGTGCACTAGAACTTTAGAACGATTAATAAAATTTGATATCAAACCCCCATTTAAAAAACAATTAATTGTTAATCATGCGTCATTAAAGGTAGATTAAAATCGCGATAAAATTTTTTCGCGAGGATAAAAATTTTTGAAAAAATTTGGAGACCTAAAAAACATCCAAAAATTGAAGAAAAAAATATTTTTAGGGGCGAAAGGACTGAGTTTTCTGTAACGCTATGTAACCTACCCGAGTTAACTCGGGCCAGGAACTAAAGGTTGTATCAATATATTCAAATTAAGTGTTAATTAATGATGTTGTAGATGAGACGGTTTTACAGTGCCATGTTTTAATTTAAAATTAAAATATAAAGTTGTACAGTCATTACATTTAAGAGATTCTTCTGGTTTATCTTGATTATTTACATCTAATAGTTTTCCTACCAGTTTTTTTCTATTTCTTTTCAATAAACGATTATTTATTTGATTTGTCTGATTAATATTTTCAATTTCTGTATTTTTCCTAAATTTACTGTCGGTAGCGAAGATTTCTTTAGTTTAGGTTTTGCCAATAAACTTAATACAGTATTTCAACGAGATGTTCGAAACAGTTATAGAAAATTTTAATTTCTTTTCTCATAATCGTTCGAACCTGGAACCAATACAAAAAACGTTCCAGAGAATTCAAAATACTTGACGATGGTCTGTAGATCAGATTGAAAACATCTGTAAAACAATAAATATTGATTCTCAGAGACATAAGGTGTGTGTGTCTCAGTATTTAAAAAATCTGAGTATATATTGAAAGGTATTTAGATTTAAATTACAACTATTAATATCTTATATTAAATGTAACATTTTATTTATATTGAGATTCTCATTTCTAAAAAACAAAAGTACAGGTAACCCCGTATAACACGGTGCTTTTATAGCACGGGTTCACTCTAACACGGTTCGAGAATTGAGTAAAACCCTCGTACAACATAAAATGTAATAAAGGGTGCGTTCTTTTATACCTCCGCGTAACTCCGCGCGAGCATTCTAATTGTTTTCGTGGCTACTTTGAATGCTCTTTCAACAAATAATCCATTTAATGATTAAATTTTACAATTGTGACTCTTCTTTTGCCTCTAAAAGCTCATTTTAGAATTACAGATTCTTCCATCATGATACTATCGATAGTATGGGCGCCGCCATCTTTCTTTCACCGTCGTTCCTAAATGCCTACAAACAGCAGCGCACTCCCGTTGCAGAGCGACCGCTATTAACGAACGCACCCGCAAACTGATGATGCTCATGCTGAAATCATCATATAAAATGAATAATCCTCTGGTAAAATATTTACTTAAATAATAAATACGTATTTTATCTATGAAAAAAATGAATAATATATCCGATTTAAATAAGGATTTAACAACACGTTTTTTTAACTTTTGGAACCTAAACCCCCTTTTCGCACTAGTTCGTTGTTTCGTATAACACGGATTCGCATAACAGGGTAATTTTTTGGACCGTAACTCCCGTGTCATACGGGGGTTGCCTGTACACCCCGTATAACATAGGGATTATACACCTGTATTCCCCGTATAACAAGGGGAAAATAAATTCAAATTATACGGAGAAATTAACCCCGTATAATTAGAATTTGAATTTATTTTGATTTCAGGTTAATTTGGATCGACGAGAAGTGATTTGGATCGACAAATGGGCTCGTCCGTATGTTTATCCATACGGACGAGCCCAGTTGTAACTGTAAACTTGATCATGTCTATATCATCTGTTTGCTGTTATCACTAATAAAATTTTGATCTAAATTATTTTAATACATCGTCTAGGTAGCCCATACGACATTAATATTTCACCGCACTTTTCTACTACCACAATAGAAATTGTAGTAGTAGAACGGGTTGATATCTGATCCAAATCTCATAATTCATCCTGGATAGTACGGTTTCGATTTATGGTTCCTCTCGCACGTGGGGAGGAATGCCTCTCGGGAGAACGTTCGATGGAAAACTGACCCCTATTTAGGTGTTAGGTGTTACAAACATAAAGAAAACCCGGAAAATTCTACATTGTCAGCTCGTCGGCGAGGCTCAAACTATCAAAAAACTAGAAATGTTCAGTGGTTTTTCCACTCGGCCACTGTTGGGCAACTCTAAAATGCCTTCAATCCTGTTTATTGTGGGTTAGACCATACCCACAATGGTGAAGGATGGGGCTCAATGTATCTGGGACAGAGCTTTCTTGAAAAATTCTTGGAGACTTGCTCGCCCGAATTTGATCCTGACTCTTTCAGAGAGGAGAACCGAGGCGTTTACTGCC